GAAAGGGAAAGGAAATGTTTATTTAATGCTCTACAGACTTAAAGTAGTGACCTAATGTCTTCACCAAAATCCCAAAGTCCCTTAAAACACCCACAAACACACACAGTCCTTCCTCCCCCTCTTTGCCCAGTCTGGGGTACTGTATCTCAGGAAAAGAAATAGAAATCCATGCCCCAGGCAGCCCCCGGTTCTTCCCAGTAATCTGTCTCGGCTGGTAGGCTGCCCTGGGTTCCCAGCACCATCAGCTGTGTTGCCGGGAGGGAACTCTGCTAAAGCCGGGTGGTGGTTCCTCCTTCTAAAGCTGCGGGGGTCACCACTCTGGCAAAGCTGTGTGATTCTCCTTTCTATTCCCACAGCCATGTGGTCCTCTCTGCAAAATGGCAGAAAGGGGGGCAGTCTCCACTCTGCCAAAGCCAAGTGGCGGTTCTCTGCTAAAGCTGCATGGTGATTCTCTCTCACAGGGCTGCAGGAGTCCCTACTCTACCAAAACTGCGTGGTTCTCTCCTCAATGGCTGTTGTGTGTCGGTTTAAATCCCCATGCCAATCTTCCTCTGCAGACCCATTTCCAACTCCTCCCACAATCGGCCACACCTGCCAGTACTCTCATATACTTCCAGCTTTAATGGGCTTCCATCATGAGTATGGGCAGGCATGGCCCCATGTCATGGAGCCAATCTTCTCCAAGCTTCCACGCAGGCGCTGCAACTCGGGGAACCTGCCCCCCAGTTACGTCTCGGTGGGAAAGTTACTTCCATTCCCCTGGCTCAGAGCATGGCCACAGCTATTTAACATATCTATACAACCAGTTAAAGGTTATAAGATATGTTATATGACCACGCCAGACTTTAGCTGTAAAACTGTTGCTGTGCAAAAAAGCTCTCAATGATCCTGCTCCATGTGTCCCTTACCCCAACTCACACCTGAAGGGGAAGGGGTGAGGACATCTTAATGTTTCCTGGACACCCTGAGTTCTGGATCCCATTCCAAATCCCTATTTGGGGGCCCCCTCTTGGCTGCACCCTGTTACACTATGAACAGTGATAATGGGCTATAATTTTGATGTGAAAGCTCAGGGTTTGGAGAAAAGAAGAAAAAGCATTTAATATGACTAAAGAACTCTCCCTCCACAGCTTGGTGCTTCTGGTTCCGATAGATGAGGAAGGCTGAGCCATCGCAGGGTCAAACAAAAATAAAAACATAGCTCTAACTCAGGAAGAAACAAAAGAATAAAGTTCTCCCTTCTCTTCTTTGCAATTTTAGAGCCAATTTACATGCTTTTCAGTGCCACAGTGATGTGAACAGTATTTGGCCTTTCTTATTAAAACAAGTACAGTCACTTTATAAAAGAGATGCATGCAGACTGGCTTTACCTTCTGGTGTCTCCTCTGTGGAAAGAGGAAAAAGTGTTATAAATCATCTCTCAACAGTCCTGTTGCACAGAAGTGGCAGGGCTTGGCAATGAGAGGGAGGTGGCTGGGAGAGCGCCAATGTTCTTGCTCACTCTTGTAGACAAAGGTGCCTACGTGTGAGCTGTGCAAGGGGAGGCATGTGCAGAAAGAGCTGTGATAGGGGGTCCGATGCAGAAAAAGAAAAATAAGTAACTGGCAGATGCTTTTAATGATATGTATATACTCAAAACTACAGATATTCCGACCAGATAAATATCTTATTTCTGAACTTATGAGGGTATTTCTTACTTAAAGGAAATAATGAAAGCTTTTGTTTTGCATACATATACATGTTTATATATGTACATTTATGGACATATGTATTTAAAATATTAAATACAAATGCACAGATATTATATATTCATTTGAATAAATTGTGACCATGGCATACATCCATGGAACCACTAAAAATATATACAAATACACTTCTTATTTCCAGTTCCCCATGTGTTCGGCTTGGGAGTTGCTCATCTAGACTAAAAACAAGTAAAAAGCTGAACAGGCTGAGAAATCAACATTTCTCTTCAGGTCCCTAAGAGAAGGGAAGACCCACAGCAAGCCACTGCCCCCAAGATTAGAGATACAGATTAAATCAGGGAATCACAATTTATCACAACAGAAACCTATGAGCTGAAACCACTGCGGAACCCAGTGCCAGGGCAGGAAAACCTCACTATAATTATTGAGTTGCTGGAGGCCCTGTGGAGGGTTCTGAGAATTAAAAGCTCCCGGAGGACCCAGTCATAAGGGAACTCACAAAAATATTGTGAGACTTACCAAGGCAAGCCCAATGAGGTTCCCATAGTAAATATCAGATAAAAATCCTCTGCTTCTGGCAGGAACAGGGAAAAATAACCATTTTGAAATGTGCCAGAGCACTCTGTTCTTAACAAGCCTGCCCACAGGGAAAACTAGTTACCCAGAGCCTAATGTGCTGAGGTATTATCAGAGTCTAACTGAGCTGGGGAAGGAAAATACCCAACTCCTGACCACTCTAACCATCCTCACCACCTAACAGGGAGAAAACAAAAACCCCAAGAAATGCTTGTGAAGTTCACAGTTCAGAGGCACAGGCTCAAGAAAGGGCTGAGACCTATCACAGGAGTGTAGAAGGCTTCCCCTGCCTCCACAGCTCTCCACCACAGAAAGGCTTGTTTACAGTGGTTCCTTTTAGCCAGTACATCATTTCAGGCTGTTGTGAAAATATTATAAGTGTACCAAAAGGCAAAAAAAAACACAATCTGAAGAGATAGCATTGGAATTTAAAATGGCAGGGCATTGGAATTATTAGACTGGGGATTTAAAACAACTACATGCTAAGAGTTCTAAAGGGTAAATTAGCATGGAAGACTAACTGCGCAATGTAAGCAGTGATGTAGAAGTACTGAGAAAGAAGCAAAAAGAAAAAACTAGGAGAAAAAAACATTGTAACATTTTTTAAAATGCCTTTAAATGGCTTATTAGGAGACTGCAAATGACTGAGGAAATCTCTTAGCTGGAAGATGTGAGGTCTGTCCAGAAGGTATCCAACCATGTAATATGAAAAATAGAGACATTTATTGAAGAAGATACAAGAAACACTGTACATAGGACAATGATGCCTCAGTCCCCCTCAAAGTAGGCACCTTGGGACTTCACACAGTTCTCCGAATCACCATCAGGTGCCCCATCGTATTTTCCTGAATCTCATTGACATTCTGAAATCTCTTCCCTTTAAAGGTGATTTTGGTTTTGGGAGATGCTAGGGGTCACAGGGTGCCAAATCTAGGCTGTAGGGGGGCTGAGTCACCTAGGCAATTTGATGTTTCACAGAAAAACTCTACATGAGATGTGCTGCATGAGTGGGAATAGTGTTGTGATGAAGCTGCCAATCACCAGTTGCCCATAAGTGTGGCCTTCTGAATCATCTGAATAGTTCAAGCTTAATGCAAAATTTGATGAAGAGTTGTTGCTCTACTGTCTGGGTCATTTTGAATGTGACAGCCACACAATAAATACACATGCTGACTCGATGGTGTCTACCACCACCACTGACTAGTACAGTGAAGTCGTCATTGTTCATGCTTACACATTACAGTCCATTGTTGTTGTCTGCCAGGTCACATCAATGTTGTGCAAATCATTCTCATCATAATAACAATGGCTGGACTTTTTCTGGACAGACCTTATATCAATAGAATCCTCAAAAAACAAAAAGAAAAGAGAAAAATTACTGGAAAAAAAAATCCAAGGACTGTGGGACAACTAAAGAAGAGGAACATGTAATGGGACTACCAGGGGAAGACAGAGAAAGAGACAGGAGGAATATATGAATCAATAATGATTAAGAATTTCCACAAGCTTAGAGAACACCAAACTGCATAAATGTAAAAACAAACAAACGAACCATATCCAGGCATATCATTTTACAACTATAGAGAATCAAAGATAAATAATCCTGAAAGAAGCCAGAGCTGAAAACAAACAAAAAACAGACAAATAAACCTAAAAAGTCACCTTCTAATGAGGAACACTGGATTACATTCTCAGAAACCATGCAAGCAAAATAAAATATTTAAAGTGTTGAGAAAAATCCTGCAAACTGAAAACTCTGTACCCTATGAAATTTTCTTTCAACAATGAAGAGATAAAGGCTTTCTCAGACAAACAAAAGCTGAGGGAATTTGTTACCAGTAGACCTGCCTTGCAAGAAAAGTTCTTTAAATAGAAGGACAATAATATAAGTCAGAAACTCAGATCTACATGAAGTAAGGAAAAGCATTGAAGAAAGACAAATAAAGGTAAAATAAAAACTTTTATTTTTTTTTAGTCTTCATTGCTCTAACAGGTAACAATTTTTTCAACCAGACATCCTCACCTTCAATTTGATTCTTTTGTAATTTACATGTGCTTGCTAAAATTTATCATTTCCTTCCTATTTTCCATCTTTTCCATTTTCATCTTAGTAATGTGAATGTCTTTGATGAATAATCTCAACATCTGGGCCATGCCTGTATTTGCTTCTATTGACTATTTTCTCTGTTGAGAATAGATTGCATCTTCATGCTTTTTCATGTGCGTCATAATCTTTGATTATATGCCTGCAGTTTTAACTAAAGGAACAGTAGACACTGAAGTAAATAACACTTACCTTTGGAAAGTGGCCCCACTCTCTGCCATAATGCTGGATTGGGTGCTGAGTCAGTCTTCACAGGATCTCTGGGCAGCAATAATTGGACTAACTGCACCACTGCCTTTACATTTTTTGTGGGCTGGATCATTGTGTTCCTTTCAGGGGAACCCGAAATCTAGTAATGGTGAGACTCCAGAAAACTTCCCTTGCTTCACAGCTGAGTAGCATGCTTTTGTGAGTGTGCGTACTCCTTGCTCTCCAGCTGTGCTTTGGAAATTTCTTTCAGCTGTTGCCCTTCCCACAACTTCCACTACCACCACTCTGTCAAATTTTAGAAGGCTTTGAAGTTGCTTATCTTAGCTGTCCTGCCTTGCCTGCAGTCTTTGGTAGCTGAAATTCCAAAGTGCCTCGGGGCAGGGTTTTTTCTGAGCTCTCTTACCCTCTCTGCACCAGAGACTGCAGACATTGGAATGAAAGGATCTCGGAGTGCATCTAATGAGTTCCTCTCACCTCTCTCATGCTGGCCTTGCCTTGGGAGAAGGAAGAAGCTTGCACTTGGGTGAAGCCCACATGCCCCATGGGAGGTCTTTCTCAGCTCTTTTTCTAACCCCTTTTGATATATTTCCACTGAAATTATATAATTACCCACGGGGAAGAGCTGCTGAGTGACTGCAGACTAGTTCTGTAAGAGGAGATCCTTGGATATCCAATCCGGCACACAGGTTCACAGGAGACTGTTAAAAGCAAACTTAAAATTACACTGGGTTTAAAATATTTTTAAACATCAAAATCTTTACTCTCTGGGGGTAAAATATTATGTATCATTCTCACACTTTGAAAGACGGTCTTGCAGGTACCATCCCCTTCCCTTCCCTCATATCATTCCCTGGGGATCTACTCTAGTAGATGCTTTCCCTGGTATTTATTTTCCCATCGCTACAGATTTCATTTCTGCTTCTTACAGGTACACATTTGTCAACATAAGAAATGTCCAAACCTGTAAAAATGTTTAGGAGTTTATTTGAACCAAACTGACAACAATTGCTGGGAAGCAAAATCTCAACAGATTGAGAAAATCCTCCAGAGAACGGCACTTAGGCATGTTATTTTCTACATTACAATCAAAGGAGGAGACATAAGGGGGTTACATGAAATCCATTGGTAAAAGATTCGGGAGGCAGGAAAAAGTGAAGCAAAGTGGGGGATGGGGGAAATCTCTGGGACAGGATAAAAAGTTAAATAAATAGACACATACTTTTTTGACATTTGTGGGTATAGGAGAGTTAACATTCAACAATTAACACTATAACATTAACAATAAGGCGATTTGTGTCTCTGCTCTCATGGGTGGTTTTGCTTTGAAGTGTCCCACAAAAGGAAATTACTTTGTTATTCCAAAGGTATGTTATCTTAGATGCAAAAAGACAACAGACAGGCTCAGTTAAGGTGAAGGTTAACCTTTGTTAGGGAAAAAATATCACTCTAGGACATGACTACCTCCCATAAACTTCTTTTAGTTGGAAAGTTTTAATTTCAGACCAACCTATGTGATTACTTTGGTCACTGTGTTTGTGAAATCACCATTCAGACTTCCTTGAGCTTATCAGGTTTAGTATGTGGTCCCTTTTTTTGTCCAGGGGTTACAGTACAAGGTTTGTGCACCCAATACTTGTAAAGAAAGGCCAATATTCAATACATCAGAGTTTGGTTAAGGAAAGGTTTACTGATTGAAGGCACATCTAGAGAAGATGGGAGTGCCTTATGAGTTCTCAAAATCTATCTTAAGATAACCTAGAATTCAGGCATCTTTCCTGTCAAGGCAAGGGGCAAATCAAGAAGTGTGTGAGGGCCATAAACAGTGAGATAGCAAGGTTTGCCTGATGAGATCCAAGGAAGAGGAAAAAAGAGCTCAGACTTTCTGAATCCCTTTGTCCCTGGAGGTTCATTGACACTTTCTCCACCCCTCTATCCCACCCCACTTCTTCCACTCACCCACTTGTCTGATTCCAGTTCTGGAGACTAAAGGGTCATTACTTTTGCCTACTTCCCCACCTCTTCTGGAAAGGCGCCCTCTGACAAGGGGCTGCTCAAGCTTTAGCAGAATTCCTCTAGTTAATTAGCATATCTGAGGCAGGAGCTATTAGCCCAAAAGCCTTGGGAGAAATACAGGCTAGAATTAAGACAGAGAAAGAGAGAGCTTTTCCCTGTTATAATTGTCCAAGCTCCCTCAGCTGCATATTTAGTTTGGATTGCTAACATGAAACTGGAATCATGACAGATGTAACCTCTTGGGTTTCCCTCAACTTGCTAATTTGTAGTGTACTTGTCACATACAAGATCAATGTCTGCTTCTTGCACATTAACTTGGGTTTAGAACCTTGTTATGAAAGCTTACAATCAACTCTGAATCTGCAGAAGACAAAAATAGTGCCCACAGGACACTACAGGGCCAAGATTGGAGATCACAGTGATAGCTTCTTCCTCTTCCTCCAGCTGTAATGGAGGGTAATGGAGAAATAATTGAATCTCGGAACCCAGCATTCTCATTTACCAACAGCAAATAACACAGATGTTAAATCACTTGGGAGCATTTATTAGAGACTCTGAGGCACCTGCCTTCTTTCTTCTATGTATGTGGGTTGTACCAGCAGACTCTAATTTCCAGGCTTCTACTGGAATGGGAAGAAGGTAATGCATGCCTCTCCCATGCATACCTAGTCTACTGTTAGGTGAAAATTTGGAATTTCCAGGAGCACTGACCAGTGCAATAAAACATCCACTCATGATATTCATTCAGAAAATCTGATAGATGAAAGAGACAACGAGCCATTGTAGGACACATTGCTTCATGTCCACAAAGCTATTCTGGAATTATGACACTGCAAACACCATTCTATAAAGAACTCTGAGAAAACTACATAATGCCCTGCTCAAATTTTCTGAATGTTCCAGCATTCTGGATTGGTTTATTTTACACTAATAATATAGTCATAACTGGTGTTTTATCTTCAACTGCTGCTTGGTATGCTAACACATGCAGCATCATGCATATTCCTGGAACTGGAATAGTGGCAAATATGCACCACCCATTGAAACCTACAAGAGCAACTTTTTCTTTTATAAAATATGCCATAGAATCCCATTCTGCAATAACAATATTCTACATAGATTCTCATTGTACAATGCTCAGTCCCGTGGAAACTTTGTTGGTCCTTACCTTAATTAAGCTGCACCATAACCACAGTGAGAGATACGTATATACTCTACACAGGTTAAATTCCAGGATTGGAGTATTAGAACCTAAAGCAGTGATAAGCTTGGGGACAATATTCTAATCCTAGCTCTTGATCTCACTCTAATGTATTTCTATTCAAAAGGACTTTGCAGATACAGCATTCTGCTAAAGAAATCAAAGAGAACAATTGTGTTGAAACTGCATAGAAGGAAAAACATTAACTCCCTGATGCTTAATCTCACAAGTATGCACACTTACTTGAAGAGGCTGTGTAGAAGGAGAAAGGAGATAAAAATTGAGAGGAAACAAAGGAGAAGACAGGGAAAGGTAAGTAGTAGGGAAGCAGGCAGAGGCCAAAGTTTTCAATAATTCAAAAACTTCCATCATGAGAATTAAGATTTAATGCAACAGCCTAACTAATAACATAGCCAGGGAAATAATGGAACATTTATAACAGTGAAAACTACCCACTTGCAAAACTAAATGTCATTTCAGGAAGAAAGAAATAGGGCTTAGGAATTAGGGCAACAGAGAAATCTTTAAAAAGAGAGAGAATGAGACCAAAAAATGCATGATCTGTCAGATGCACATAATCCATTAAGAGATAAGTGAACAAAATCCTGACTCCCAATTCCTTTATATTATCAGTCTGTTAACATTTAATAATTTAACCAGAAAACAGAAAATAGTATTTTGTCTAGCAGTTACTAAAGCTAAAGCAGATGGGAGCACCTTATACAGACATATTAAGACTATAACACACAACTTTAATGTTTCTTCACTTTTATATCATTTATAAAACTTATTTCCTGAGTACATGGATATTAAGTGAAATCAGCTATTAAAACACCATATGCTACACTCCTACTCATGTCCAAAATTATATTTTTCTCAACACAGATACTTTATTCCTTTGGAATTTAAATGGCTAAGGGTTATCCCTGTCAATCAAAGTCCTATTCTTTTATATGGATGACATGCTTAGCAAGAATGCCTCCAAGCATCTTTATTAATATGAAGAGTGTTTCTCTTTATCCCACACATAGTGAACAGAAATCTCTGATACTGATGACAGGGAATCTTTATTAAGTGATTTCCAAGAGACTTGAATGCAGCTATCCTGGCCCTGGTCCTCACACTGACATTTAGAATCACTCTTCAGAGCTCCATATTGCCCATGATAGTCATATACACATCATGTGTTTAGCTCCATCACTGCCTATCCTCTTTCCAGTTCCCACTGGGTTCACATTTTGACTGGGTCCCCCAGTGACCAAACTCAGTACTCACTAAACTCCATTTTTAATGTGTTAACCAGGGAGTTCATATAAATTATTTGTAATATGTAAGGACTTAATTCTTCACTCCAAGCCAAGGACCCCAAATGCCTAAAATGGCAAAGCCGAAATTTATTTCATATCTTTGGAGACTAATATTGGATTGATTTGCTATGATTAATACTCAAGAAAATAGTCTTTCTTCTATTGTTAAGCCTCAGTGGATGGAGTTTAGGTCCAACATACTGACAACCCAGAAGCTGATACTCTGAGACCATACTAACATCCTATGTAATTGAGTCAGTGTGGTCAGAGAAGAGAAGTGAACCCAAACATTTCAAAGGATTATTCTTTCTCAACCTACTTACAATAGTGCACGTGATGCCTTTTACCACTTTGAGAAGCTATTCCTACAATATGTGCCTCTAGCAGTCCACACAGAATAGCATAATTTAAAAAAGAGGTAAGTAGATGCTTCTATATTATGTTATAATCATTATATACTAGGACAATGAGAATTATCACAGTTAACTATTGCCAGGTTTGGTCTTCTGGTTGAATATTTTAGAAAGTTCAGTGCATTTTGAAGATGTTTAAAATTTTTAGACTTCTGTTAATAAAGCAAAACTTAGAGCTTAGTGTCGACTTTTTAAAAGAGAACAAATTCAAATCCTTAAAAAATATGTAGTTGAAAACCAGCATTGTTACTGCATTAGTGGAAAAATTTCATTAATTCATTCAAATCCTTATCAGTTGGGAAGGCCAAATGGAAGATTCATCAAAATATATGTGATCAATGTAGAAAACACACACATACACACACACACACACACACACACACACACGAAGTTTCAAGACACTCAAGGAACCATCACAGTGTCTTTTGGACATAAGATCAATATGTGTAATAGTTGGAGATTATATTAAGATTAAAGAATGCTATAAAACAAGAGATCAAATAGAAAAACACACTCCTGCTTTTCAGGTAAAATTTTCTAGGTAATCTAGAAGTATAACCATTTAGTCAAGCAAGTGTTTTCAAGAAATTGCCCTTCCTGTGGCAAGAACCATAATTAGTAATCCTGTCACTTGACTAAATAGATGAAAATTTAAGAAAAAGATAGGCTACGTCTAGATGACCATGTAAACTGCTTCCTTCTTTACTATTAAACATTAAGATGGCATCACATAACCACATGGGGTACTGTTAAATAGATTCAAC